ATATAACCCAAATACCAAATTCCGTTATGCTTAACCATAATGCCTAACGATCCCCACAACGCCTCGCTCAAACATAACAGGTATTACTTCGAACCATCACAAATGATCTCATCGCATCAGCCACCTGGTCGCTTCGGTCGATTAATCGTCAGCGGTTTGAATGGTTTACGCAATCGATCCATTGAAGGCGCAGGCCCCAGACCAACTGGGCGTCTCACACCTCCATTAGGTTTTACAGATATGAATGTTGTCGCATGAAGACTTGAAGCAGGCTTGTTAGGCAATGCTTCTTCCTCGTCCTTCTTGTTCTCCTCTTCAGGCTCTTTTCTTGAGGGCGGTCGCGGTGGTGAACTGGAGAAACAGGAGTAAGGCTTTCGAGGGCCCCCATCGACCTTTGGGACATTTGGTTTTGATAGAGGTCGTGCAGAAGGAAGTTTATGTTTTGCCAGCTCCGGATCGATCAGTGGCTTTTGTGGCTCCGACCCTGTTGTTAGTCTCCCTGGCATACCATTCTGCCGTGACAAAGCAGACTGGTATCGCACCTGTGCAAGGGACCTGGACTGCTGCTGCTGCGGTAGAGGTTGAGGTTCGGGCGGAGGTCGAGGAGCATCCCTTCCATGGTTAAGCCAACCAAGCATACTCTTCTGCCCAACGCCTCTTTTCGTCGATCCCTTCTTTGGCCCTGGTTTTGAGCTTGCTGCTTGTGCTGCTGCGGCTGCGGCTGCAGCATCTAGGGCAACTCTATGAGCTCCAGCTGTTGTAAACCCTGGTAAAGCAGAAACGGTGAAATCAGATGATTGTTCCATTGTTGTGGCATATTCTCTCTGCCAGGGAAGCTCATCTGTTTCATCGTATGAGGTGACCGGGTGTGCCGTACGCTGGCGCTTGGGTGCCCGCGAGTAATGTCGGCCACTTTCTTCGTCGTATCTATCGACGTTCTTCGGGTCGACAGGATCGACAGGAAACCCGTCATCTTCAACTGAGAACATAGGAGGGAGTTTTCCAAATATTGCTTTCTCACCTGGGGCCTCTCGTCCCAAGATTTTAGCAACACCCTCTACAACTGCTCGGTCGAAGGATGGCCCCTTCTTGGCGAAGACCTTGGATGCAAAAGGAGAGACAAACGGTGAGAGTTCAACCTTGCTACTCATCCCTTGAGAACCGTAGAGAGGGCAGCTCAGATACAACAGCGCTTGGGCTCGTGTCATTGCCACATAGAGGAGGCGTCGTTCTTCATCTGTGTCTTCCGATCTTGAATGAGGTATTGATCCAGTATAAACTGATGGCACGAAAACAATAGGCCACTCCAGCCCTTTTGCTGCGTGAATGGTCGATATAGTGATCAGAGATTTCTGGTCTTTGGTGTCGCCTTTGTTCTGTGCGTCCGATGCTAATGATACGTTGGCCAGGAACCGGCCCAGCATATCATCCTCTCTCACTTGATCCATATCCTCGATTTCAGGGAGTGCTTCTTCCTCTGGTCCGCCAAAATCTCTCATAAAATCGCTAACCAGATTAACAAACTCTTGAACGTTGGCCCATCGCTGTTCATGTTCTTCTGTGTATTCTTCCTCCAGATACTTCTTGAAATCAAGATGGCCAATCAATTGCTCTATCAAGTTGACCAGAGTGGTAGGGCTGCTCTGACTAATTAGATCGGCTTCTTTTCGTAAGCTCGAGATGGTCCGGATGAGTTCTGTATTGAGCTTTTGCTCCATCTTTGGTCTGATGTTGGTGTTTGCTTTACGGCTGCCTTTACAGTGCTTGATAATCAAAGTCCAGAGGCTCATGTTGGTCTGCTCCGCCTCTTCAAGAAGAGATTTGATTGTTGCTTCTCCTATTCCTCTTCTTGGCACATTGATGATCCTGGCCAGCGCATCGTTGTTGTCAGGCTGGCTCACTACACGAAGGTAGTCTATCAAGACTTTAATTTCTTTTCGTTCGTAGAACTTATGGCCTCCGATCATTCGGTATGCGACGCCGGCTTTCCCCAGAGCTGATTCGATGTGTCGGGAAAGCGCAGCTGATCTCAGAAGAATTGCGACATCTTCAAAACTGAGCATATTTCCAAACATCATGATGACTCGCTTAATCTCAGAAACGATCCATTCGCCTTCGGACGACGAACTCTTCAGTGTTCTGAGAACTGGTCGCGCTCCCTTAGTGTGGACCGGCAGTAACACTTTCTGGTATCGCTTTTTGTCTTGTTGGATGACGTTGAGAGATACATCAAGGATGGATTGTGACGATCGGTAGTTTTCTTCCAGGGAAATTTCATCTGTATCAGGATAATCTCTTAACAGTCGATAAAGGTTTCGAATCTCAGCTGAACGCCAACCGTAGATACTCTGATCAGGATCGCCTACAATTGTGATTCGCTGGCGTGCTTGGGCGAACAACTTCATCAGCTCATATTGGATGCCGTTTGTATCCTGGTACTCGTCGATAAGGACGGTCTGGACATTGGAAACGCAAGCTGGGTGGTCTCTCAACAGTTCGACACACTTGACCAGGAGATCATCATAGTCCAGCAAATTTGACCTTTTTAGTTGAGCTTGATACTCTTCATAGCATGTCCTTAGCGCCGGGTTCTCCTTTTTGCCTTTCTGAGTTGGAGCGGCGGCGGCATTTGGTCCCTTCGCTTTCTCTTTACTGATCCATGACCTTGCATGTAGTGGCTCAATGCCAAGTTCCAGTCTCTTGCAGATTCTCTGAATGATCGCCCTCGAATCTCCGTCGTCTGCAATTCCAAACTTCGAGTCTAGTCCGATGCGATTTCCGTATATAGACAAATATCTTCGGGCGATCGAGTGAAACGTTCCAAGCACAATCTTCTTTTCACATTCCTCGCCTAGAGCTTTTCCTATACGCTCTTTCATTTCCCTAGCGGCTTTGACGGTAAAAGTTGCGACGATCACGTCGGCAGGTCGATAGCCGACTCTTTGAATCAGCCATACTACTCGTGAGGTAAGAGTATGAGTCTTTCCACTACCGGGACCAGCTAGAATTGCTACAGTCGATGCAGATGAGGTAACAGCTCGGCGTTGCGCCTCGTTCAACGACTGAAGAATCGCATCTTGTGTGGTCGAGGTGGACATGCTGGGTACGTGGACGAATCCACGAATTGCTGTCGATTAGTCGAGGAGAGGAGTATCATCGAAAATTCTATACCCACGCGAGATTGCTCGAATGGGAGTACGGCGTAGTATTTCAGCCACCGGAGTCGCTAGTGGTATCTTCTTCTCTTCGCGTTGATGAGAAGCAGGCATCGCGCGACGCGATGTCATTTTCGCGATGTCACGTGCAGTGCAACGCCACAACGCCTACGACGTTGTAGGGTAGGTAGTTGACCAAAATGGAACGCCAGGAAGTCATATCTTATGTTCTGATATCATTCTTGACTTCAATTAAGTAAGTACCTGAGTATCTTGTTCATCACTCACACATCTGGTCCTCATGTTTCTAAAGAGAACATTGTGCTAGTGACACTAGCCTTACCATTCAATTTCCCTGATGCTCATCATGAATTCCTCCATCGACTCTACGGAAGGGGAAAGCATTATGCCTGGGTGTCACATGCTCATCTTCAACTCTGTCGGATCTCGTTATCATCTTCGTCACATCCCCTCTACGCTAAGGCTTCTCTCGTCACTATCACCGTCACGATATGCTATATCAATCACCGCTAAAGAGTGACAAACAAAAGTCCAATGCTACGGTGATGTCCCACCCTGAGAGTTTCTATCAAGCCAAAAACGACACTGTGGGATATCGTTGGCATTGTCACATAAAAAAGTCGGACACTTTGAAAACATAATATTTCTATGGGTGCCGTGAAACATTGCAGTCTGTTTAACAGTCAGGGACGCATCCTGGATTCCCCTGCACAGGTGCTCACCGCATAGCGCCTGTTTAGCATCTGGAACAGAACCCAACATGGTCCTGAATTATGATTGTCACCTCTCCAGTCAGCAATCACCAACCATATCACCAAAGTCACTCATGCAGGGTAGCATGAAGCTATAGTCGTGCGATAGTAGTGCGACTTTACACAATAGGCGCCGTGACAGGTCTTTCTATTCGAGGGGATCGACACGAACATCACTAACAATGCCGAGCTACCTAATGTCACACAAAGACGAGCAGCCCATTCGAAGACTTTGGCACATCACATGATGAGAGGAAGAGTGGGAGAGTCCACATGGTTCAGGGCCCGACAGCGTGGATGATGCAGGCAACACATACAATTGGGCCTCAAAGTGACCCTCACTGCCTAGACTGCATCGTCTATGCCGTTAGTTGGGTGATTGAAGAGTATCGTCACCAATCGCTGGGTCAATGGTTGTTGTTGGTTTGACCCCGCAGATCCAGGAACGTGTGAGTCGGACAAGACCTCTCTTTGTGATGGCGAAAAGCAAGGATCGCCCCGCCCCGCTTGGGACCCTTTAACGGCAGAAACGAGACAACCAGAGAGAAGCTTAAAGCGAGAAAACACTGCAGTGTATCCCGGCATCTAGGATTCTAGAGCCAGCGATAGGTCGTGTATGTGGGTATTGGTGGTTGGTAGTGAGAGCTGCTCGCCAATCAGACGATGGCACACTATATCGCTCAGCGGTTAGCCATCCAACCACAGCTCGGAGATGGCCTCGTCACACCTGGGCCCTAACATATCGCCTGCAACCACTCTGTTGCCATCACCAAGGGTATCGAGCTATTCTCAGACGTATTCTCATGCATTCGGCCGCTATTCGACGACCGCCAGTTGACTGGCGTTGTCTGCTCAGCGACTCAGCGTCCAGCCCTGGATAGCTCAGCGGCTAACGCAGAGTGATAGACGATCATGACCCAGCCCGCTATATACCCCGTTGAGACCGCAAGTTCCCTCTTCCGTGCATGATGTTCTTCTCTAGTGTTTCGTCTCATCGTGTTCAGGAGGTCACATCGCACAAGCTGGCTCCTCCATAAAGAATAAGTGTCTCGCCTTGACCTCGCTTCCCACGATGCTTCTCGAGGGTGCTCACTACTCACTACAACTCGGTCTGCTTCTGTCTCTGTCACTCATTACAACAGCTCAGCCTGAGCCTGTTCTATCTTCGATACTCCAAGCCCGGGACACAGATAAGCCTTTTTCAGGAGGACCAATTGACACAACCTATCTGCCAGCCCAGATTGGTGGTATAATCGGAGCATACGCTGTATCGTTGGTGCTGGTCGCCATAACACTGCTTGCTTTATCAAAGAAGCGGCGCGAACATATTGCAGCTGGAATTGACGAGGTCGACTTTGAAGTCCGGAAAGATATCGTCAGTCCCGACTTTCCTCCAACAGCTGTGCCTACATCTCTGAATATAATCACCGACACCGAATTCATCAAACCGAGCTTCCAGGACTCGCACGAAGGAAATCCATACATCTATCCATCGCCGGCTTCAAGTATCGGAGCCCCCGGAACTAATCCTTTTGTCGATCCCCGTGTTGTGGCAGTAGACAGACTCATGGCTCAATCTCAGCTTGAAGACATGTACAAGCATGTCCTGGAGCATGAGGATGCGAAGAAGCGAGGAGTCGTTTACGATGTTCCTCTTCCCCCCAATGCTCACCACCAACCACGCCCTTCAGCCTCGGCCTCCGTACTCTCTCTGAAATCTTCGACATCTTCGCCATCGAAGAAGGAGAGGAGCAAGCCAGCAACACTCAACCTTTCTGCTTCTCGCGAGGAGAAGAGCCAGTCAAGGACCTCATCATTTCTCTCAGCACTACGATCACCAAAGAAGAAGCAGATGAAGGGCATGAGCATCTCATCGCCTCTCATGACTCCTCAATCGGGTGAATTTCCTCGCTATGAAGGACAGGAGATGAGCGCGATTCCTCCCCGGCATTACGCTCCGGCCGCTCCTCCTCCGGTCCCCACTAATCAGGTCCCGTATGGTTCACCGGCCCTCCCGCCCAAGGCCCATGCGTCGCTGCCGACCCCGGATATCTCGCCCGAGAGTGTTTTGAGCATCGATGAACGAATCGGAAGTCAGCTGCCTTATCCTGGACACGCCCGTACTGTGTCGCATGCACCTAGCGAGCGTGATCCCGAGTCAGCAACTTCGGAACACTCTCAAGCACCACTGGTCGGCCTGCCATCGTCTCCCAAGCCCGGTTCAAGGTTCCCATCTCTTCCCGCGTCACCCAAGCCTGGCCAGACATTCCACCGTGCCAACGCACCTTCAGCTGTGCGCACTGGTGGTTCTCTCCCATTGCGTGCTTACGAGCCTGCCATGGTTTCACCAAATACCATTGCGCAGACTACCAAGCAGACTGTGTTCGAGAGGAAAGGACCGCTATCACCAAGCGGAGCAATGACTCCTCACACAGCTGGTGCAGTGCCTTATTCGCCTTATCAGCCCTTCACGCCATGCATGCCTGTGACACCTTCGCTTGTGACCAGGGAGGATCGGAAGAGGATGAAACGCATGGTACCTAAGACACCGACTTTGGAGATGGTTCAGAGCTCGGATGACGTTTGGTAAACGAAATAATTAGAATTTATGATTATTTAACGGGGTCGATATTGCATTATTTCCTTTGCTGTTGTTGATATCAAGACATAGGGGTCTACTTGGTTGGGGTTTACAGTATTTGGTTAGAGCTGGCCCACGGGCTTGCGGGGATTTAGTAACGGCCGCAAGGACCAGAGCTTTACTATCTGCATAAAATATTCACCTGTATATCATTTATTTCTGCGAAATCGATTTCGTTTCCGAGTTTAGGTTGTTTTCAAGCGTGTAAAGTCACACAACAGACGCGGTGGTTTCCCATGCGCTAATATCTAGTATCGACTCTAGTACTCTACGATCTCTCAAGATCTTGAATCGCCAATCGGAACAATTAAGAAGATGCATGTGACGATACTTAAAAAGCAACAAGCGTTGAAACTAGAGGGTGACGCAAGGTTAATCGTTTGATCATCGGGATGGATTGGGGATAGTTTGGAGGAGGATTCAATATTGGGATCACGATCATTTGGTGGCGGCGGGGACCATCTCGAGAAGCGAGGATGAGGATAGTGGCACAGAAGCTGAAAGCTGAGTCCAAGACATGCAAGAATAGCCTGCGTTGTGTAACCCGAACAGATCTTCTGTTCAACGCGGATTGGCAGGGCGCCAATAGTTCGGTATTTGTATGTAGCTACCCGTCGCACAGTCCCTGAGAGGGTTGCACCAGACGGGACATGGCAGATTCGAGGGATTGATATCCAGGTTTTTTCGGATTCTTCACAATGAAGTCGTCTTGGCGACCGTTATAAAGCTATTTAATTGGACCTGTGATACTCAAATGCTCCCGAGTAACCGTCGCCTGGGTCTGGCCTTTTGCCGGCTGGAATGTAATAACTGAGTTCCTGTGAACCACGGGACGCGAGACTGAGACTCGCGTGGCTAACCCGAGACAACTCGAGTAGCACCACGGTTTATGTTTTGTCTTTCGACAGTCTAACAGTGTATCTTGGTTTAGGGGGGGAGAGTTTGACAAATGTGACTGAGATATTGTCTATTGCGACTCGATTATGGGGGTATTTTCTGCTTCCTGAGCCGAGTTCTCCAACGCAATCGAACTCCTGCCCGTCCTCGAGGGTCCCCCCATTCCAATTTGATTAAACAGAGTTGGCTTGTGCTTGACGGGTTACTGAATTTGTGATTGCGTGCACAGTGCAGAATGCGTCTCAGACCCGAATGCGAGAGGGGTAAACCTCTAACTAAAGTGGACCGTATTCTTCAGATCGCCAATACTGTACGGTTCAAGCCGTAACGCCCCCTCGCCTAGAGACTCATCCCGTGCCAGTTGCTAGGCTTAGTGAGTACGCCACCAAAAGTCATCGACGTTCTGCACTGTATTTAGAGCAAGGTAAACACTCAAATACTACCTAGTGGATCCCCTGAACTCATCACTCCATTCTTTGGTACAAAAGACGACCTTGGCCAAGCGCGGACTTGACTAGGCGTCACTGGGCTGATATCCGGGTTCCATCGTACGATTTTCTGCCCTCTTCTCAAACCGAATTCCTTGCATCCATCGCTCGCCTCCGAATCATCGCCCAAATCGCTTATTCTCCCATCAGCAATTTTAACTGCTACTCGTTGCCAGTCGAACCATAATCGCGAGACTGCACTGCTCTTCCCTTGTTGTAGAACCCCTGTACTGTCCTTTCTCACCCGTCAACCGTTCGGCAACACCCGTTCAATCATTCGATCAGAGAGTCATCGAGACAACCATCGATTCATTCTGTGGTTGCAGCACGCCCTCACCACCGAATCTCTCTATCTTATCCACCGATTGATCGCCTTAGCAGAGGCTATAGGCCTGTCGACTATTGCAGGCTGACCCTCAGCACAGCCTGTAGCCGTAGCTGCCACTGTAGCTGGAGCCATCCACAGCTGGGAGCCATAGCCAGTAGCTGAGGCTATCGCGGTCAAAGTCCACTCCTCGGCCGAGAGACTCAATTGAACAGGCCACGCCGGGAATAGAGGCCAATTCAACCCAACTGGACCGACAACATCGACCCTTGCTCTTAGTATCGTCGGCCAAAGGCCCTCGTCTTCCCGAAAGGAAGGCCTCGCTCGACCACGGCGACTCCTTCGGGGTCACCCTAAGCACTGGGTCTCTCAATCAGGCCATCGCAACTGCATTGCATGGTGCTGGCCTATCCCCATCATGCCCGGCTCCCGCTTCTCCGACATGGCCGACCATGATTCTACCACCAGCCTCTATGGCCTTCAAGATCCGAATCTAGGTGGTTTCGTTGATGATGGCTCGGTCGTGAAATCTGACCCCTCCTCAGCCTCCCTGCCCAACGATTCCTCCCGTCCCCAGACCCAGCAACAATACTACGACGCTGCATGGCAGTTCACCGGCACGCCCCCTTACGACTCGTACGACCCCTCTAGCAGCACCGCACCTCCTGCTCAAACTAGCTATCAACCTTCTCCTTGGAATCTCGCTTTCGGTCAGGACCAGCAGAACCTTCAACAGCTTCCCATCTCTACCGGCATCGACGGCCTTCCGGCAACCACTCTCAGCTCCGAATCAATCTACGCCGCCTCAAATCCTTCCCTGCGACAGCCCAGTTTCAACGACAACACCGTTCTTCAGCCAGCCCTTATCAGCCATCTGACTCCTGCTCTGCAGGAGAAGCTGCGCAACATCGCCATGCCGCCACATCTTCAATACCACTCCCCCAAGAGCGCCTCTAGCCCGGACTCAGTAAATGGCGAACTCAGAAGGGGTGTTTTTTCGTCACCGGATCCTGCCGATGGATCTTCGAAAGCATCGCGAAAGCGCAAGTCTTCCGCCGACCCTGAGGATGAAGAGGAAGAGGAAGAGGATGGCGATCAACCAGTGAAGAAGACCGCCCACAACATGATTGAGAAGCGGTATCGAACCAATCTGAACGACAAGATCGCCGCTTTGAGAGATAGCGTTCCCAGTCTTCGCATCATGTCGAAGAGCGCGCGAGGTGAAGACACGACTGAAGACCGCGAGGAACTCCATGGTCTGACCCCAGCTCATAAGCTGAACAAGGCTACAGTATGCTGTGCTCTTTCTTCTAGCGATGTAACTCACGCTAATCACTGGATAGGTTTTGAGCAAGGCGACTGAATATATCCGACACCTCGAGAAGCGTAACAATCGGCTACTCGACGAAAATGGTGCTATGCAAGCCCGCATTGCAGCCTTCGAAAAGCTTTTCATGGCCGGGGCGATGAATGGCGCCATTAGCCCTCTTCAGCAACCACCTACGCCAATCCAATATGCACAGGATGCACAACAGTTCGTCGGGGGCCCGTCGCAGGACGGCAACGCACAGCCAGGAGGAATGATCCAAGTTCCCGATGATATGAAGAGAATCATTTCGCAACAAATGGCTTCTGGTCAACCATATCCTGTACCCCAACAACAGTTTCGCGGTGGAAATCCCGCGCTCATTCGACAGCAGCAGCTTCAACAGCAACAGCAAATGCAGCAGGGTCGGTGGAATAATGCCGGCCCTTACTTTGGTAAATTGATGGTTGGCTCACTTGCCGGTCTCATGATTCTGGAGGCGATGCATGAGGATGAAGTCAGCAATGAGAAGCCTGCAGGTCGCGGTTTGTTCGCCATGCCTATTCAGCTTCTGAAGAGTGCAGCGAGCGGCCTTGACCTGACCGTCGGAGGCTATCATCTACATACCTCACTCCGAATTATTCTCCTCCTTGGAACTTTCCTTTGGGTGTTTGTTCCTTCACTATTCACACGAGCTTCACAAAAGTCGAAGAAACCGCAAGTCGGTGTCCTTCAGGCAGCGCCATCGCTCGCATCACCAATTCATGTCCGCCGACAAGCTTGGCTTACCGCTGTCCAGACCGTATGGGTCCCTCGTCACAATTTCTTCCTCGAGGCGGCAGCTCTCATCTTGAAGACTCTCAAGCTCAGCCTCCGAAATGCAATTGGAGTTCATGGTTATCAAGCAATCACTGGTTTGACTCAGGAGCAGGAAACCGCTCGTGTCCAGGCATGGAGCATTGCCCTCGACTCGCAATTGGCTGGCGGCGACGTTGAGATCAACAAGAGCCGTCTTATTCTCACACTCCTCGCTTCCGGCACTCTCCCCGACACTCCTGCTAGACTTATGCTCAAGGCCCTCCATATTCGCGTTCTTCTCTGGGACCTCAGCCAGAACCGACTCCAACTTGGGGCAATCAACCTCATCGCTGCCAAACTTGCTCGCAGCAAGTGGAATGAGGCCCGCCAGCTGAATCGTCTCCTTGCCCAACTTCACCGCGAGTCCTCCGAGCAGCATGACGATGATTTGCCCGAACATCTCGCTCTTTTGGTTGAACAAGATTGCGATGAAGTGCTCAACGACGATGTTATTCAGCGAGCACACAACCTGGCTTTCAATACCGATACCGATTACAACGTTGTGACCCCTATGGATGGCATGGATTCTGTTGTTGACGATACCGCTATTGGATCTCCCCTTGACGCTGTTGCTGCCTGGTGGTCGACCCAATTCCTATACCGAACTTTGGTCGCCACATTGGAAAAGGACGAAGAAACGCTCAGCACCAAGGTAGAAGATATCGAACTCACTATCAAGGCTGCACCCTTGGGGTCAACCGCGCAGGCTCGGGCAATCGTGGCACGAGCAGTTCTCGTTGATAAGGCACGCGGCGCTAACATCGCCTCTGCCTTGCAATCGATGGGCAACGAAAAGGTCGATGCTCTCCTGAGCTCTTCCATTTGTGTCGTTGACTCAAGCTTCCAGGCTTCTACTCCCGATCTCCGACTTGCCCTACGATGCGCCATGGCCATCGCTCACCTCCGACGTGTCGAATGCACTCCTGGAAGTACCCACCAAGGACTCCGTATGATTGAGTCAATCATGACCCGTGGCAACGCCCCGCAGATGTCTCTTATTGGATGCACCGCGACTCTCGAGCTAATGGAGGAGCTCTACGAGCACAAAGCAGCAGCTGAGACCTTCCAAGCCTCT